ACTGCACGGGGTAAGTTAAGACTGGTTTCCACTTACACGTTTTTTATACCCACGGGCTTCTGAGTTTATTATTGCGAAGCGTACGCCGGCGGTACGGTGTCATATTAGTATATTCGAGTATAAAGGAATGTTATATAAGGTAATTTCCATTCGTACGAAGGTTGCCAATGGTAAGGTCATTTAGCGTACATGCGTGAGACCGTGCTCAGCAAGAGACAATCGCAGCATGACACAATTGACGATACGAAAACTCTTACAACATTGTTACAATTTCCATTTTACCATTGGTATACGTTCATGTTCGTATTCACAACACGAAAATATAAACTACCAATGATAAAATAACTTTGTCTATTGCAGTATTGGTATACTTGCTACAATATTGGACACGCGTGGCTGATTTAGCAACGATGCTTATATATATTAGCATGCATTTTAATTTCTTTGTTGTTGTTTCGTTGCTTCGCCAAATTTCCGGCGAAACTTTGCAAAAACCTCTTTCGCACTGACTTTCCTTTCATATATTTCCAATAGATTCAATCTCATAGCAATGTTGCTTGAAGATACTTGCAGAAACTGCAGCTTTATATTGTTCGATTGTTTCACCGTCACGCCTGTTAAACTAAAAGCGTTCGTAGGTTTCATTTGTTTCACCGATAAGAGTCTCTTCAAATTTCTTTATAACTTTAGCTAAATCGTCTTTACCATTCCTAACCGTAGAATGCATTCCTGAAACATTCCCTGCGGTTTGGGTAATTATTGTAAAAAATAATGCGGTAAATAATGCGGTAATATAGCATAAATCTCCTATCCTCGACGAAATTTTTTCCAGCTATAGTCGCTAAATTACCGACATTCTTAAATTCTTAAGCCTATGGGGGAATTATCCGCGCAGCCATAGTATTTCTAGAATATGAAATTTTCGCTTTGCCTTCGACTATCACGGTCAGACATTGTCTAGTTCGACTGAATGTCGTAACGAGTAAAACTAGAACAACGCTGTTCACAATCCTACATCGGAAATCCATTCGGTGGGTTTAACATAATTACATTTCAAAATAAGCTTTCTCATGTGAACTTCACAGCGTCTAAATTAAGAGTGACTAAACATTACGTCTACATCTGGCTAAAAGCTTAACAGAGAGCTCGCCTTCCATGCATGATAAGTATCGCAACAGCTAGCAATCTAGTGTTTATTCAATATATTTGACCAACCAAAGCCTGGCTGTAATCGTAACCCTGAATCTGACAAGAAGAATCTTGTCTACAATTTGATTTGCTCGTGTATGGAGAAACAGCCAACATTACATGACAGACTGTTAATGTTGCACAAAATGACTCAGACATAACTGTGCATCTTGTTGATGTGTGTGTTTTACCTGAACACTGACATCATGCTTTCAGGCAGCATTTATACCCATGGGTAAGCTAGTAAATTGTGTTTCCTATTAATAGTTTGAAATATTCAGTCTCGGTAGATATTTTCGGTATTATCTTGAATTGATAATCAATTATTGATAAATATTTAAGGGTGTTGGTACGAGAATGTTGAAAAATTTAATATAAATTAATGATTTAATATACACTATAAAAACAATCAAATTAGAGTAATATACCTTTTTATTCCAAGTACAACAGATCTGATCTCAGAAATCTATTAAAATATCGTTTTACCAGAAGAAATATGACGAACTAATTCGTTTGTTTTTTGACCGCATCTTTCATAAATAACAATTATCAAATCAGTTAGTTTACTGTCCGTTTGATAAATTCAAATATTCCTTGGCGTGCAGTTGAAGTTCCTCAGTTTTCCTGACTTAACTTTTTAACTTTCACTGTACGGGGTGAGTTAAGACTGGTTTCCACTTACACGTTTTTTATACCAACGGACTTCTAAGTTTATTATTGCGAAGCGTACGCCGGCAGTACGGTGTCATATTAGTATATTCGAGTGTAAAGGAATGTTATATAAGGTAATTTCCATTCGTACGAAGGTTGCCAATGGTAAGGTCATTTGGCGTGCATGCGTGAGACCGCGCTCAGCAGGAGACAATCGCAGCATGACACAATTGACGATACGAAAACACTTACAACATTGGTACAATTCCCTTTTACCATTGGTTTACGTTCATGTTCATATTCACAACACGAAAATATAAACTACAAATGATAAAATAACTTTGTCTATTGCAGTATTGGTATACTTGCTACAATATTGGACATGCGTGGCTGATTTAGCAACGATGTTTATATATATTAGCATGCATTTTAATTTCTTTGTTGTTGTTTCGTTGCTTCGCCAAATTTCCGGCGAAACTTTGCAAAAACCTCTTTCGCACTGACTTTCCTTTTATATATTTCCAATAGATTAAATCTCATAGCAATGTTGCTTGAAGATACTTGCAGAAACTGGAGCTATATATTGTTCGATTGTTTCACCGTCACGCCTGTTAAACTAAAAGCGTTCGTAGGTTTCATTTGTTTCACCGATAAGAGTCTCTTCAAATTTCTTTATAACTTTAGCGAAATCGTCTTTACCATTCCTAACCGTAGAATGCATTCTTGAAACATTCCCTGCGGTTTGGGTAATTACTGTCAAAAATAATGTGGTAAATAATGCGGCAGTATAGCATAAATCTCCCATCCTCGACGAAATTTTTTCCAGTTGGTCGCCAAATTACCAACTTTCTTAAATTTTTAAGCCTATGCAGAATTATCCGCACAGCCATAGTATTTCTAGAATATGAAATTTTCGCTTTGCCTTCGACTATCACGGTCAGACATTGCTTAGCCTTAGTTCGACAGAATGTCTTACCGAGTAAAACTAAAACAAGGCTTTTGAGAATCCTACATCTGAAATCCATTCGGTGGGTTTAACATAAATACATTTCAAAATATAAGCTTTCTTATGTGAACTTCACAGCGTCTAAATTAACAGTGACTAAACATTACGTCTGAATCTGGCTAAAAACTTAACAAAAAGCTCGCCTTCCATGCACGATACAGGCGCGGATCCAGCCGAAAATCTGACCGTGTCATAAAGGACTAAAAATTTTCCGGTCGAGGGGGGGGGGGGGGCGAATGGCGAAGGGGCTATGGACCCTCCGAAACAATCCCTGTACTTTCATAAAACCACAAAACCATTTTCAAAATTTTGGGTAAGGTATTTACCGATATTTCATTCACACTTAACATAACGTGAATTTTGCATACACAAATTATTCACGGACTACAGCGTAAATGCAAATTTGTATCATAGGGCGCTCCATTAAGCGGCCAAAAAGGTCAGACTGGTCATATTTTAAATTGAAATAGAGTATTTTGTTAAGAATATAGCGGTGAAACTGCATTTCCCGTGCTAGGCAGATGTAAGTAACGGTATACTTGAATGCAGAGTTCTTGAAACACTTTAAAAATTATACCGGCAGTAATCTGTCTGTACCGAAATACAACTGAACCGGTCTGGCCGTTTTTCCGTATAAAGGAGAGTGCCTATTGTTCGATTTAAAACCTAAAAGTCTTACCTTACAAGGACATTAAGTAAAGATTTTCAGTATTAGTCTCTTGGGAAATAGCAGTTTAAAAATTGTCGTTGCGATTGTATAACGCGAGCGAGCGAAGCCTTTCTTTAGTAGCTAATAATTCCATCATGTGGTAGCCTGAAGACCGATATTTCCCCTGAAATATGTTCGCTTAAATTTGCTTTTGAGAAATTTCGACGGATTCATGTATTAATGCATTCGATTCAGCCTGAATCAGCCAGGATGCAGCGAACAGACCAATTTAACGTGTTATGTATAAACTATATCCGAGTTCGAAGTCGAGAAGTGTCGAACTTTATTGTTTATCATGCTTATTGCGCAATCAAAAACAGGCCACCGTGTCGCACCGTGTCGCACGTGGCAAAAGCTTGCCCTGTGATTGGTTTGCTACACTGCACCGTGTCCGAACGTTACTATATTTAGTAACAATTGCGCGATAATCTGCACGCTGACCGTGTCAACTAGTTGCTGTGATCGCAGCTTCGAATGCACGACTAGCTTCCGAACATACTCGGTGCAATTCGGCAAGCTTTCGGCGAATTTTATAGTTCAGTGTTAACTGAACAATCATAATATGAAACAAGGAATAATAATTCGGAATTTGTTCCCACTTTTAGCAGGAATTGGTAATAATATGACAACGATATGAAAGATATTACTCACATTATTTGTTTTAGACATATATTTCCTTAATTTTGGTGTGATTCAAAGAATTAATATGTACTTCTAAATAATATGTGAATATTAGGTTGCAGATGGGAAAATTCTGGATGGGAAAATCTGACCGTGGCTCGAGCCACGTTCGATACGGTCTAGATCCGCGCCTGTACTTTCTTTTTTTTCAGCGCAAATTATTGACGATTTTGATGCATAATTCGTTGTAAAATTTTAGCTGTCCGACGCAAAATATTTCGACATTCCATACTGGCAAATTGCACAAATAAATATACACTATGAAAACAATCAAAACAAAGTAATACCTTTTTATTTCAAGTACAACAGATCTGATATCAGAAATCTATTAAACGACGATTTTTCCAGAAGAAATATCAGGATTTACTTCGGTATTTGGTTTGTTCAGATGCTGACTATATTCTTGATATTCTTGTTCCAGAGACTATGAAATATATCAATTATAAATATTGCTATGCATGCACTAATTTTTTTATATAATCATTTCAGGTAAACTACAAGTACTGGTTCAGTAATCTTATACCGTCAATCCAAACTAGATGAAACTGGTCTTGTTGTAGCAGGCTGTAGACATTCTCTGGCTCAATCTGCTGTGAATATGCATCAAGGTGAACTGTATGGATACACACATTATTAATTTGCACATCAACCGACTAATTCACCATAATGTGGCAAGATGTGATTAAGTACTGGCCTTGGATTATTTCGCTTCCAAAAGATTTGTCACATGATGAAGCCTTTTTGATGGCACCAGCACCATCTATCATGCATGGTAAAGACAATGTGATGCTTTGGGCCGCCTTCACTCTGGCCTTTTTTCGTTTCCTGCGCTGTAGTGAATTCACGTGTAATTCTCCATTTGAACCCGAGTGCCACCTATCCCGCAATGACATTATTTTCCACCCAAATATCCTCCACTCGGAATATTATGATGTCTTGATCAAGCGTTCCAAAACCGACCCTTTTCGTCGTGGATGTCGTTTAACAATTGGCTCATCGTAATGTCAAATCATCGAAGGGTTTGCATAATGAGGAAAGGGAAAACATACTTTTCAATTAACCGCTTTTTATCGCTCTGTGAAGTAATATTTCGCGCGCAAAATTTTTGCAAACCTATCCGCAAGAAACGATAATTTAATTGACAACAATTGAATGAATTTTCCGTCATTTAATTGAACCACCCAGCGCGTGCGTTTTCGATGAAAATGATTTTGTCGTGAATCAAGCTAAAAACTGGTATGTGATGATCACTGAACGGCAACAAACCCAGGGGCGTAGAAAGCATCCAGTGATTGGGGGGTACCGGCTTCCAAATAACTCTGCCCGGTTCGAGCTATGAAAAAATATCTACTCCAGTCATCGTCTGGCCAAACAACTCGTCCACTGTTCCAATTTACATCAGGTGTCCCACTTACACGTGTAACCCTAACATCGCGCCTACGTCATCTACTTCAAGGGCAAGGACTAGCCGAAAAACTCTACGCCTCTCATAGTTTCAGGATCGGAGCTGCTACAGCTGCGGGCTCAGTCGGCCTAACCTCTTGGCTCATCAAAACGCTAGGACGTTGGTCTTCAGACTGTTACGAGAGATACATTAGAACTCCAAAGGAAGTCTTAGCTTCCGTTCCATATAAACTAACTGCAAGTACAAAACATTGAAAATTTTGTTTAATATCTACCTTTAAAACTCAAACATTATGCTTCCTTGCTGTATATAGTCTGTATAATACCAGTCCGCTATTTGTGTGTACGTGGATCCTTCCTGCAAACTCATAGCCTGTCGTATGTTTGTTCTGTCATGCTACCACGGCAACTGCACGATATCTTCGAAGCTGTTTGTTCAAGGATGCACATACACACAATTGCCGGCCACCTTTGCAAGATTGTGTCTAAAAGACATTTTCGGGTGGACCCTCTCCGCTGTCGAAAGACAGGACTATAATTCGGCCTACTTCCCTTGGCTGAGATGGCAGTGACCGCCCTTAATGGCAGGAAGTGCTGTCCTTCTGGACAACACCTCACAACGTGAAGTGCATTTGGACAGGTCATTTTGGTCGAAAATGTGACCTGGAGACTCAATGGGTCAGTCAGACAATATTTGAGTCGAGCTGACTGACCTGAACAGGGGTCCGCCTGTTCCCCAGTTATTTAGAGGTTCACCTGTTCCTCTAGAAAAACCTATAGTTTTTGCATGCTCTTTCGGGTTTTGAGTGCCCTTACTGCCTCAGTTTAAATAATGGTGGTCCGTAGATTATAAGGTCTCAACTCACTGAACAACATGCACAGAGCTGGCTCACACCCTCTGCGAATTAGAGGTCCTCCTGTTCCTCTAGGAAAAACTTAGGTTAATTAGAGCCTCTAGACCTTTTTTCGAGCGCTTCCTGCCCAATTTATATGCTACAAAAATGTCTCATTGTGTTGTTGCTTTTCAAAATCCTTATAAAGAATCTTAACATATAAACTACATTAAACGTATTATAAATGTTTATGGTTTAACCTGAAATACACGACATTTTTCATTTTTTATGTTGTAGCTTTTTAGGAAAGTAATGTAGAATGTATGATTATAAGTACGTAATAGCGAGAAAATTCTACAACAATAATTATGTGAGTAAATAATTTGAGTTGAAAATATTAAAAAGATCAAAAACAATTATAAAAAAGTCACTGACTTAATAAAAATAAACATAATGTAATTATTATATTTATCACGTTGTATCCCGAAGCATCCGCAGTTTTTTCCCACAGACAGCGGGAACATCTTTGTTGGTTGAGCACGTCTTTAAATTTAGCATTCATCCGTCAATCGCTCACTTAGCTGAGCCGCCTTGCGAGGGCCAGTGAACTCAATTAAGACTGGAACGCTAGCTCTCTCACTTTCCCATTCACTTTCCCTCATTAATAAGTGAAACCAAAATGGCGGATCATGGCTAATTACTAACAAAATCCGTCTTCACTTCTTGAATTGCTCTTCGCATTCATCTAATCGAGAAACTATACTGACCGAAACATATGTCTCCCATCCTCGATGAAATACTGCCATAGTATTTCTAGAATATGAAATTTTCGCTTTGCCTTTGGCTTTTGCCTTCGACTTCAAGCCTGCATGTCTTGATCTGTATCACTATCAGACATTGCTTATAAAGTACGATGGAATGTCTTCCCGAGTAAAACTAAAACAACGCTGTTCACAATCCTACATCTGAAACCATGTTTCAGTGGGTTTAACATAATTACATTTCAAAATAAGCTTTCTTATGAGTTATGTGAACTTCACAGCGTCTAAATTAACAGTGACTAAACATTACGTCGACATCTGGCTAAAAACTTAACAAAAAGCTCGCTTCCATGGACGATAAGTATCGCAACTGCTAGCAATCTAGTGTTTATTCAACATATTTGACCAACCAAAGCCTGTCTGTAATCGTAAACCTGAATCTGACAAGAAGAATCTTGTCCACAATTTGATTTCCTCGTGACATGTAAAGAAAAACAGCCAACATTACATGGCACACTGTGAGAATTAAGTGTTATATAGTGTTACACAAAATGACTCAACTCAGAGCAAGCTATGGATCAGCTATGCATCATGCTGATGCATGTGTGTGTGGGGTGTTCATGATTAAAATATCTAAGGTTCTAAATGTTAAACAGTTCATCTAATGTTGCTAATATATTGTATTATTTATTAATAGTTTGAAATAATCTCGCTATACATATTTTCGGTATGATCGTGAATTGATAATCAATTATTGATAAATATTTTAGGGTGTAGCCGTAGGAACGAGAATGCTGAAAAATTTAATATAAAATGATTCAATATTACCCAATAAAAACAATCAAAACAAAGTAATATCTTTTTATTCCAAGTGCAGCAGAGCGGGTATCAGAAATCTATTAAAAGATCGTTTTACCAGAAGAAATATGACGAACTAATTCGTTTGTTTTTTGACCACATAATTCATAAATAACAATTATCAAACCAGTGACAGTTTTCTGTCTGTGGAATAAATTCAAGTATTCCTTGCCGGGCATGTGAAATTCCTCAGTTTTCCTGACTCAAATTTTAACCTTACTGGGGATGCATGAGTTAGTAACTTCTTATCAAGAGATCGATATCGGACTGAGGTCTCGATCTTTGCAGAAAATGTATCATTTGATAAAAAAGTACCAAAATATTGCATTATATAACTTAGATAAAACCGTCTGGAGCCATCTTACTAATTTCAATAGCAATTAAATATGCCTTTCAGAATTAATTTGTGCAATTTTCTTTCTACCTTTATTACAGAAAAACAGAAGCAAACATTGGGTGATTGCGATGTCAGAAGCAGTTGTTACGAGCTCGGTCCTATAAACTTTGATAATACTCGCTTTTGGTTCTGTTTCTACTCGCAACAAACACAGTGTCAGTCAATTATATTTATATAACTATTTATTCCTTAACTTTCCAATAACAGTAATTAACGTCTCTATAAGATTATGACCTTAAGAATATAATATATCTTTAAACGTTTGACTTATCTCTGTCTGAGCACAACTCAACAAAGCCTTGTCTTCAACTTTAACTCCTTTTGTTTAGTACTCTGCTTTTACAATATAATATTTAGGCACTGCGGCCTTACGAAGAATGCTGTACGCATTTCTCTGCCCGTGGTTGGTTGCGCTCAGACTTTATACGCTTGGCTACACTAAAACTACAAGTCATTTCCCCTACGCAATACAGTGCGTTGTAGCACATGCATGCTATCGTGGTTTGTGGTCGACACTTTGTTACGCGTTTGTGGGATAAGGTGTGGATAGCTATTTGCTTACTCATGCATGTAAGTCTGACTGAAGAGAATGCTATATGGTTATATGAATATATTATATATAAATTTTATAAGATGATATAGTGATTATACGTAATAATGTTTTTTCTTATACATAAAACCATTTCAACAAAATGACGAGCTGCTTTTTTATTTTCAAATCGTTCGTTTTTTCCAGGCTTACAATTAATGCAAACAGGATCGTGCTACAAACACATCCATTGTCTACACCGTCCATTCCTGTTACAACGACAGCATCGAGTCATATTTAAACTACAAGCAACTACAATACTTACTTACGTGGTGTACCTACAAGCTAATTTACCTAACTATTATTTGCTTTAAGCAAAGAGATAAAATATTTAAAAATGTTTATATATTGCATTTATATGGAGTATAGAAAAACATACGTGGTAAATTATATCATGCATGTGCATGACAGATACTTTTATCTTGCAACTTCACGGTTATACAAATAACATAAATAATATATTCGAGAAATAGGAAACTACCACCGCGAAATCACTGCATCCATGAGTAATCGCTGTCGCTGATATTCACGAATCAACATTTAATCATACCATTTAGGGGCTGATTGCATGGACCAGGATAGCACGTTTGCCCAGCAAACGATTACATGAGTGATTTCAATATGATATTTTAGCGAACTTTTTTGAAATCAATTGTGCCTTAATAATTTCAATCCTTCCTTGGTTTTATAGTATTATATTCATTCTTGTACTTTTAGGCGAGTTTGCCGGATTGAAACGTGTAACCCCTCACACCAACCCCCTCCCCAATCGCCACGCCCATATACGCAAGCGGAGCTGGCCCGCTTGACACAACCACAGCCCGAGTTGACCCGGTTGCATGTAACCGAAACGTTTGAATTGACTATACAAAAACAATAGGGAACGCGCCAGCCTCGCCCATGCAATCCGCCCCTTACATCATGACGCGGGTTCACATCACTATGCATGGACCTATTAGAAGTAGAGCAAGAGGCCTATTGCGAGATACACAAAAACGAGGCAAGTCAGGATTTCTACTGCAAAAATTCCAGAATAATTTGTTTACTTCTAAATTTTGATTGAAGGAAACATCTTGTGACATAAAATAAATATGATTTTGATATTCGAAAAAATAAGATCTGATTATAGCCTGACTACACCAAGAGATTGTGCTTTGCCACAGGCTTCTTTCTCCTTTTCCAAAAGGTTTATGCATGTACTTTATCTTCCAGAGGAGCTTCAAAAGATATATTCCATTTTTTTAGAATATAAAAATGAAATGCTAAAAACTTCTGATAAAAATGTACCTGACAAAACAGGAAACTAATTCTAAAAGTAAAGATATCCATGATTCGTCACTCATTCCAGCTATTTTAGTCCAGGTAAATCATTGACCTAAACCTTCCTTGATATTCATTTCACTCAAGTCTCTGACAAAATGAAGAAAGATGAACAAAAATATTCTTCATTTTATAGCGTCGTTTGCCTGGCTACGAAAATATTTTCCTTTAGATTTTAATTTCTAATGGAAGAAATCATGTTTTCCTATCTAGTGACATAAAGACAGCTACACCTTTGACGTTCAGGAAAATAACATAAACAATTGAAAATGTATTCCTTTTGTCACAACGTAATTTTTTTATGTTTCTTTCAGAGCCTTTTTTTATCCAAAGCGGAAAAACATGTAATAATGGATCCAGGTTAATTATAGAAGGATTTTTCGTTCATCTCTTCTGTTAGGAACAGTGAAGCAAGTAAAGAGGGCTATTATACTGAATCACTGTGTGTAGAATAAACTGATCGCTTAACAAGTAAGAGGCTGGATATTCATGTACGC